GTGAATGCGGATAGTAATCCCATCCTAGGCCTGTCAATGGGGCAGATGACAACACTAACCGCCACTCCGAGCAACCTCATAATTAACTGAACATCATGGAACCAACACAATGCTCATATTCAATACTTAAAAGCTATGTTGCTCGGACTCTCTGGAAATGTTGCCGGGTGCGTGTCGGATCCTCCAAAATAGTGTATTTTTGGAGGATCCGACATGGGTGGGCATCAATTTGGAGAGTCCGCGCAACGTAGCTTAAAAGTTTTATTGTTTAGCAATACAATATGTAATACTTCTATCATGTATCTGGTGGAAAATTTGGAAAGAAATGAACTCTAGATGATTTGATGAAAATAGCAGTTCAAATCAGAAAATCAAGATGATTTGTCTTCTTTTATTTTATTTTTGGTGTAAAGAAGAGATCTGGAAGAAGCAGAATCCTTATTGACACTATTGATCATTTTTGCTTTACTTTACAATATGTAAATATTCCCAGCACAGTCTTTGCAGTGGAGATTAATAATACTACTGTTATCTTTCCCAAAAAAGATACTTCTATCATGTAATCTTACATTGCTCTATAGCATCTCAACTTTGGAAACTGTTTCTGAACTTTTTTGGAGTAAGATGGACTACGAGATGAAATGCTTTCCTACCGTAAGGTCAGGCTTAAGCTTATTCCCGTCAGTTCCTGAACCACTTTGAAATAAGCTTTCTTTCTTTCTGTTATTTGGCCCGCCCTGGGATTATAACGATGACTAAAGCCTCTATCAGGCGCGAAAAGTCAATGATAAAGAATTCGCTCTCTGGTAAGGAAGGAAAGCACATCAAAGCTTGCCACGGCGTCAAGGCAGTTCGACAGTGGCAGAAAGTCCTGTCCCTCTCGGTTGCTGGACAAGGATGGGGCTGAGCAAAGAAGTCAAGAAAATATGGAACGCTGCTCCAGCTTCTATCTAGTGGATTTGCAAAGGGAATGTAACCAAAAATGTTCGAGTGCATGGCTGAATCTACACCTGGATATAAATAAAACTGTATACTCTTGCTCACCTGTTGCTGTAGGTTGGAAATTATATGACGTAAACAGTACAAACTCCTAGATTTTATCAATTCCTTACAAGTATAACTCATGATTGAACTTCTCTAGTAAGTTAAGATTCTCAGAACCATCTCAGTGCTGTTTTTGCATCAGTAAAATCATACTTATCAAAAATGTATTGGAAGCCAAAGCAATAGATTTTCAGAGTGTCCACTAACTCGACATGTTACCATTAACCTGCATGTACTATCTCATTATGCAGGTAAAAAGGAGGTCTACATATACGTGGAGAAAAGGATGAAAATGTCAAATTTAACGGTGATTTACATGCAACGAACGAGGGGAATTTACAAATCATCTGCTTTTACCACGAATGGTCAAACAACTATGAACCTCTTCAACTAGCATCATCTAAATTGGGTTATCTTTTAACAGTACGCTAGCAAAAGAGGGATGTAACTAAAAGAAATAAAAGACATTAAGTTAATCCTCATACTTTGATGCGGATGATATGCAAAATAATTTGGATACCTTTTGATGACATCAAGAATCACACATGGAGAGACAGAGTGTGAGATATATATATATATATATATACACACACACACACACAAAAAAAAAAAAAAAAAACAGCAACAACTACCTCTAAGTCCCAAACAAGTTGAGGTCGGCGATATGAATCCCCATTCCTTTCGTTTAGCTCAACTTATATCACCATCATTACCAAAATAAAATAAACGTGCAAGTAACACACACACATATAGAGAGAGAGAGGGGGGG